AAATTTAAAATTTAAAATTTAAAATTTAAAATTTAAAATTTAAAATTTAAAATTTAAAATTTAAAATTTAAAATTTAAAATTTAAAATTTAAAATTTAAAATTTAAAATTTAAAATTTAAAATTTAAAATTTAAAATTTAAAATTTAAAATTTAAAATTTAAAATTTAAATTTCAAATTTCAAATTTTGAAAAAAAGTAAATGTAAATTTTAAATTTTGAAATAAATAAATTTAAAAGTTAAAACGTAAAATTTTAAATTTTTATTTTTAAAATTAAAATTTGAAATTTGAAATTCTAAATCTGAAATATTATATTTAAAATTCAAAATAAAAAATTAGAATTTAAAAAACTATTAAATAAAGATTTTTAACCAAAAATTTAAAATTGAAAATCAAGAACTAAACCTTTAAATTAGAATTTAAATAAAAAAAATAAAATTTTCAAATTTAAAATAATGAAAATTAGATTTTTTTTCAATTTTAAATGTAAATATTAATTAAAAAAATTCCAATAAAAAGAAAAATTTTTGAAATTTAAAATTTAAAATTAATATTTCTTTTTATATTTTAAATTTATTTTTTTGTTTATTTAAAATTTAAAATTTAGTTTTTAACTTAAAATCTTTTGTGTCTAAATATTTTATTTTTAATTTTAGATTTTATATTTTGAATTTTATATTTTAATTTTCACTTTCATTTTTCAAATTTATTTTTTAGTTTTTGGTTTATATTTTTTAATATTAATTTTATTTTTAAAATATAAATTTTACAATTTATTTTTAAAATTTAGATTTCAATTTTAAAATTTAATATTTTTAACATCCTGCTTACACAATTAGCATTTGAATGAGGTTTAAAAAGAGCTAGGATTTTGCTTTGAATTACCCTACTCCGAGAAATCCCAAAGTACAATTCTATATCAATTCTATTTATAATTTGTGTTACCAAACAAAAAATTTGGAATTACAATACAATTTTATATCAATTCCTTAATTATACCAAAAAATGAATTTGAAATTGAATTATAATTTCAATTCAATTCCAATTCTATATACCAAACGGAGACTTAGTAAAATTGCGTTGATCTTTTTTATTGTATTTGTTGAGGGCAAACTTGCGTTTCTCTTGATTTTTTTGTACATTTTTTTTGGAAAGTAAATATTGTGAAAATTTTGAAAGTAATATCCTGACTTTTATTGAGATGGAACATATAATATAATATATATACACAATGCTGCTAGTCATAAAAGGATACCAAAATAAGGAAATAAATAAAGACATAAATAAAGAAGATTCTATATTATTCTCTCACTTGCATAAATGAAACGCCAATTGGTGCATCCACGATCTTCTCTCGAATAAAATGACAACCAACTTTAATATATTTGGTTCGGTCATGAAACACATGATTAGCTGCATTACATAGGGCTGCTAGATTATCACAGAATAAATTCATAGGGCCCTTACGTTGTATCCCTAACGACCATAGGAAGGAACGGAACAAAAAAAACACAATCGTAGTAACTGTCATGGCCCTATACTCAGCTGCTGCTGAAGAACGAGACACAATACTTTATCTTTTGTTACACCAAGAAATTGGTGATTCATCCAAAAAAACAAAGTAGTCCATGAGTGAACATTCGGCCCAATCAGATCATGGTATGCATTCAACTGGAGTGGAGAAGGTGAGCTCAGCAACACCCCTGTCCTAGCAACCCCTTTAGGTACCGCACCACATGTAGCACCTCCCTCATATTTTACCTCTGCACGCGCTTTCATGAACTGTGAATAGACATGGACTGCCTATGAAATACTTAGATGGGTAATAGTGAGATAAACTAGCTTTCAACCAAGACGTCTATACCGATCCAGATCTGCATATGGTTAGTTCGTGTCCATGGCCATCTTATGATGCTGCTCAATGCATGGGAAAAGTCGTCGGCTTACATCCGAGTAGCTTTGTCTCCTCTAACATGTCTAGTGTATAATTTCTTTGACATAAAAATATACCACTAGGATGGCGTGCAATTTCTATCCCTAGAGAATACTTTAACTTCCTTCAGTGAGGAGCTTTTTGGCAAGAAATCTCTTCACTCGTGTACATGCCATCGAGTTATTTTTTGCAAGGATAATGTCATAGACACACACCAAGAGGGCTAGGAACACCCCCTCTTGGAGAAAAGTGAACAACGTATAGTCGGCCCAAGATTGAACAAACCCATAACTCAAGAGAGCGGAGCAGAGTTTAGCAAACCAGTTCCAGGGTGACTGTCGCAAACCATGGAGAGATTTCTGAAGATGACATACCTTAGGCGAAGATTTGGCCGAGATAAATCACCATGAAGAAAAGCATTGTGCACCTCGAACTGATGAAGCTCCCATCTCTGAGCCGTAGCGATGCCCAAAAAAGCCCGAACACTCACCATTTTGGCTACGAGGGCAAAGCTTTCTGTGTAGTCCATCCCTTCTTTCTGAACACTTCCATCCACAACAGAACGAGATTTGTATCACTCTATAGTGCCATCAAAGTTGTATTTTATCCGGCACACCCACTTACACGGGATAACTTCTTTCCCTTTGGGAAGATGGACCAAACGCCCAATGTATTGTCACAACATTAGTTGGGGATGAGTTAGCGTAGGAGCGATCAATCCCACAAATCATTGGTAATTGATGACTACTTTCCTGCCACAATTGATAGAGGTCTCATCAATTGTGGTGAGAAATCTGGACACAAATATATGTCATGTACGTCATAATATGTAAACTATAAATTGGAGGTAAAACTTGCATTGTAACCTAAGCTGAATTAACCTAATAAAGTTATATTGAGATCATTCTTTGTATATCCATAGTTGGTGGGCTAAAGCCTATCGGATGGAAGAGACGCTGACAATCCATAGCGCCACTTAGAGACCAGAGTCTACTCCATCTTCACAGGAATGCTGCATATCAAGAAGAGGACTAGGTAAAATCCTTGTCATGATTTTAGCCATTGCCTTAAAACGATTCCAAGTTCGGACAAGCCTTCAAAAAAATTTACACCGGAGTAATCAAATTGGAGAAAAGAAATAGTCAATACTCTCTAGGCTTGCATTATACGGAGTACAATATATGTACTTTACTGTTGCCAGATTCTAATGTTCTATGAGATAACAAACACCCGGAGCTCACCCCTGTCACCCCTTGTCACACGCATATCCGAATCAACATATACAACATTAAACTCGCCGCTGCCTCTATTGGACGCTGGCCTGATCACGTCCAGTAGTTTGGGCACCTCCAATGCTGGTAGTTCTGATAGGCTTCCTCTTGTCTTCACACTAGTCTTCTCAAATGCAATCTTAATCTTAGATGTTCCTGCAAACACACACCCACATAGACACTGGCAGACTTGCATGTTTTGAAAAACACAGAACGATACGGCGTAATTAACTAATGTCATCCACTTTTATGGTGGGACCCTTCTCCGGATCCACACTCAATGGAGTATTGTTGTGCACCGGGCTATGATATAAAGACAAATTTGGTAGGGACTGACTCACCTATAAGTTCAAATTTGTGAGCCAAAGTTGCGGTCACTTGAAGGGGTGGGAATGGCCACGGGGCACCCAACTCAAGATCGACTATGTTTTCAAAATCCCTACTAAAGACATCAATCCTTTGAAAAACCTGTTTTAACATGTAAAACACAAATGTGAAAATTTTCCCAATCACAACACTAGAGAAGGCAAAAAGTGAACATATATGACTACTCCACAAAAGGGCTTCAAATATTTTTATTATCCATGTACAGCAATAACATCAATGAAAAGAAAATTTTGGTGGGAATCATACGAATTGTGCATTTTTGGAATTAGGTCAATTAAACTATTTAGGTTACCTGACCAAGAGTTATGGGAACAAGTCTTCCTATTGGGGGACCAGGGCGGCTTCCACCCAGAGTACGAGATGAGAAAGCACTGCTATAAATCAATTTCCATCTTCCTTGCAGTAGATCAGCATCCCCTTGGAGATCTACAGGCCCTCCAGCAGCTTCCAGTGCTTTGGCAACATCGTCTGCTTTCCTTAGATCGTCATCACTAGCAGCTAGACCTCTATTTAGCCCTGAAACTGTACTCTGCAAGTACTTGTCATATTAGATGAAAGATTCCAGATTTCCAAGCCTTATGATTCAAAAAGGATGCCTACAAGCATATCTATTAGTTGTAGTTTTAGGTAAAGACTTTAATAATGAGATATGGACTTCATTGTAGCTGTCTGGCAACAACTACATCATTTAGCTTTAGCATTTTTGAAAGGGCTATCAAGCAGTAAAGTTTGGCTTTAACGTTTTTAAAGTTAATTAGCACCATTAGAAAAATAACCAAAATGCTAACTGGATACATTCTTCCCAAACAAACCCATCATGGATCCCAAAAAGTTTTCTTCGGTGTCTATTGGTATGGTTTGAAAGAAATCCCTCGTAGTTTTCTCGTTATGCAAGTCTTATAAAGTTCCAACTTCACGTGTTACAAGGCATTTTCTGTGCAAGGAGTTATAGCAAAGAGATACATGATAATGAAGATTTCAGGTGGCGCAATCCATGATTATAGTAGATCCTTAATAACCAATTCTAATTTTTATATATGACTAGATTAGGAGATCCATCAAAAAGCATAAACGCAGATATAGATTCCAATCCATCATCCTCTTGCATAAACCATAAGATTTGGAAATTCTCTCAGCTCAGAATCAAGTTAGGCAAATTCCTTAATTTTTGTTTTATGTGTTTCTCTCTAATAATCAGAGCATGGCAGTTTGAGGAAACATGATTTGAAAAATCAAATGTTTAATCTTATGAACACCAAATCAGCCACTATCCCTCTCTTTCAATTCTGGAACTTTGCCCTCCACAATGTAAATATTAAAACTTGAAGTTCCTTCCAAAAACCAAGGTTAAAAAGAAAACATAAATGGGCTTCAAGGCATTTTACTTTGAGTTATGCTACAGTAACCTCATGAATGACACCAAAGTTAACACCACCATTGTGTCGCAAACAATGACGGTCTGTGTGTGTGACTCTCAGTAAGACACTGGTGGTGTCAACTATGGTATCATCACTGCAGTAAAAATAACATTTTCCTTTTACGTTAGCCTCATGAGGTGTAAATCTCAAGGCAAGTCGAGGTGTGAGCATCATAGGTAGAATATATATTATTTCACTATCCCCTTTTAATCACCCTAATTTACTTTGCAGATCATACATTAGTAGTCTTTCTATTTTATTTTAAAGAAATAATTGTGTGAGTGATATTGATTTTTCCCTTTCTAAATAAATCTCAACAATAAATATACATTTTTTTTAAAATTCATGCAAAATTAAACTGAGAAGATTATATAGGGACAGATGGAGTACTCAAAAGCATTCATATAATTCACTGAATAAAGTTATTGCATGAGTCTTAAATTTATAAAAGTAATTAAACTTTTAAGTCAACTATTTTGAACAAAAGCAAAGATTTACAATAAGATGAGTAGCGAAGATAGTTGGGTGGTACTTAAAACTTAAATTCGAGTTGATAAGAAAGCATCAAAGCAAGCAATCAAGTAGAGCAAGAGGAGAGCAGAGAACAAAAGGAAGCAATTGAGTAGAAAAACAACCAAAATACTATGGCTTTGGTTAAGTTAAGCTTTTTTAAAAATCTTACCTAATTCATCATACTTTTGTGGGATTTTACTGGGTTTGTTGTTGTTTTCTTACCTAGCCTGTCCAAAATTGTTAAAGAAAAGAATGTCTTATTGAGCTCTACTGCGTGAGAATAAACATTTTTTCCATGAAAGATGATTATTTTTTGCATAATATTAGAGGCATAACCATCATGTGCCTCATGACTCATGAAGAGTAAACTCCTTTGAAATATGAGAAACGAAGTGTCGAAAGCCTTCAGAAACCATGCCTAAAAGATAAGCCATAACGAGTAGCACAAAGTCTTATATACTTTATCAATGAAGGATGACTTAAGAGTAAAGCCATCACCTCACTGTCATACAAGTATACAACACATGTTTCCTACTTGCCTCAATAGGACTAACTGAATTCATTTTCTGGTGTGGTACACAACCATTGTATATCCCCCTTCAAGTGATCAATGGAGACTTAAAACTTTTGAAGGAAAAAAAAACCATTGCATGTTAGAGGTATGTGAATCCCAACCACTATGGCCTTCATTTTCACTTTTCAGTACTATTCATTCATACAATCCAACATTTCAACAACAACAACAACAAAAAAAAACTCTCCTGCGAGCATACATTCTTAATTACCTAATTCTGCATCGTTTTAGTGGGAGGGCTCTAGAAATCCTAGGGAGACCATGTTTTATGAACAACGTATGGAAATTAAAGAACAAGATTTTCCTATGCTTTATTGTATGAGTACTTAACAAAGCTTAAGGAATCGTGGAAAGATAACAGTTTCTAACAGATTTCAGTTCACTGACAGAACTAATTTCATTCTCCTAGTGTTTCACTTTTCTTAACAAGAAATAATTTGATGGGTTCTGGGTCAAAGAGCATGTGCACATTTGATAATACAAGAACAGATATTGAAAGCTGATCGCATTCAATTTACCAAACAACATATGAAAAAAATTGTTTCCCAATAAATTTAATCCAAAGTAATTCATAGGGAGTAATTCCAGCCAGAACAAATGAACAATAATAAAAGGAGAACGGTAAAACAAGCAGGGATCTTCAAAATCAATAATAAAGCTAAGATTTTTTATACCAAGAGCTTGAGCTTCAAAGACCCAATATGGTCAGCTATTGATTCTCTATTTCCGAGGGGATCTATGAATGTGACTTCATCAACACCATGACTGCGTACGAAGCTTCTTCTGATAGGGTGGCTTTTCAGCTTTAAATCGTCGGAGGAAAATAATGTAAGATGGGGTGGGATAACAGGGCCTGAAGCTAAAACTGGAGATGATGATGTGGGACTCCGGCTTGAAAGAGAGAGGGTACAGTGAATTACAGAGGCCATTGATAATAATCTTGGGATGAGGGTGTGCTTATTTTGGATAATGCTACTTGCACCCCAAAATTACCCCAATTTGTACCCCAATATAAAATACCCCCACCCTACACGTGCAAGTACCCCCACACCCACACCGAAGGATTTCCCCCACCTAATTCACTCTGCATCTCAACTTTGTCTCCTAGTTTCCTTCCATCGATCTTTCGGTGTACGGTTCGTCGTCGACCGCCGCCTGTGGTATCGCCTCTGCCCTCCTCGTCTCTGGCCTCCTCGACTCTGCCGTTGGGGATTGTGTCCTCCTCGTCTGGCATCCTCTTCTTTGGCATCCTCGTCTCTGCCGTCGAGGATTGTGTCCTCCTCGTCCTCGCTTACCGTCATCTCTACCCTCGTCTCTGCTGTCGCCGGTGGTCTACCTTGTAGGTAATTGCTCCTCCTTTTTCAATTGCACCTTTTTTCACAAAAAATATTTACATTAGTGAAACCCTAAATGCAAAGCTCTGTTATTTTCCCCTTATTTGCTGCGAAATTCAGATATGCCTGGGCAATTGTTGATTCTTGTTTATAATTTAAAAATTTCTTGAAGTATAGTAGTTTATGTAAATGCATGTGCAATGGTGTACAGTAGATTCACACCAATAGTTTCATCTCACCCAGAAAAGTACTTCGGACCATGGCTGGCTACGGGATAAGATGCTACGGAAGTTGGACTGGACCCAAATGGAAAAGGTAATTTCTTGATGTCAATAACTGTAGGTGCAAAACTTACGAAACAGAATTGCACAGTCAAGAAGTGCCAGGTTAAAGAACTGCTGATTACTTACGTGTTCCGTGAATGAATTTCTTTGTGTAGGTCTTCATGACTATCCATGCTAGAAACCGGCATTGGGTTTTAGCAGTGCTTGATTTCCCCAATGCGACTATTTGGGTATATGATTCGTTGAAGGGTGCACAGAGCAAATCCTATGTGCGTCCAATCCTTGAAAGACTACCTCTCCTTTTCGAACTGTCAAAACTACCGAGCAACAGAGACGTACTCAAGCATGGGCAGTGGAGCTCCCCAAGGATGTGCCCCAGCAGTCTGATGGAAATGCGTGTGGCGTTATGATACTTGCATTTGCGGAGTACCTATTGGCTGGTTTGCAACTACTTCCTGACTACACGTACGAACATGTGGACGACTTCCGTAGGCAATACGCAGCACGTATATATCGGAAGATAGTGGCCTAAAGCTTGTGGAATATATATATTTTTTATTACACAACTATGACGGCTTATCTCACCTTGCTAATATATGAAAGGCATTTTTTTAGCCTTGTATACATTACTCTATGTATGAATATGTATTCACACATGATCAAACATATAATTTTTGGTTTCCGGCACATGTATGACTGCTTAAGTTGTAAGTTTATTATGTCTCATTAAGTGTTGGTGTATTGAAGAGAACCAATAGCACACGGACAGTAAGTGTTGGTGTATTGAACAGAATCCTTAACATAAAGATATAAAGTGTTGGTGGTGATTTTAAGAAAATAAGTAGGACACATGCATTTAGTGTTGGTGTATTGAAGCAAAACAATAGCACACGGACGGTAAGCGTTGGTGTATTGAACAGAATAAATAAACCCCTTATATTTGAACTCCATTGAAAAAAAGTTAAAATGAATTAAATATTATATTAAAGGGTGAATAAGACACAGACATGTAGTGTTGGTGTATTGAAGAGAAACAATAGCACACAGACAGTAAGTGTAGGTGTATTCGACAAAATAAAAAAACTCCTTATATGACTTTTTTTACAACAATTATACAAATAGGATTTTGTTATGTTAGGATTATATTTGAACTCCATTGAAAAAATGTTAGTATGAATTAAATATTATATTAAAGGATGAGTAGGACACATGCATTTAGTGTTGGTGTATTGAAGCAAAACAATAGCACACGGACAGTAAGTGTAGGTGTATTGAACAGAATAAAAAAACCCCTTAAATGACTATTTTTTAAAAACTGATACAAATAGGATTTTGTTATGTTAGGATTATATTTGAATTAAATATTGTATTAAAGGATGAGTACGACACAGACATTTAGTGTTGGTGTATTGAAGAGAACCAATAGCACACGGACAGTAAGTGTTGGTGTATTGAACAGAATCCTTAACATAAACATATGAAGTGTTGGTGGTGTATTTAACAAAAGCAGTACCACACAGGCAGTGAGTGTTCGTGTATTGAAGCAAAACATATCCACTTCCAGCTTGAGATTAACTAATGTTGTTTTTAACAAAACAAGAGGTCACAACCAGTAACAGTACAAAACATATCCACTTCCACCCTGACATAGTGTTCAACTTGCCCACAAAATAAGTTTATTTACATCATGTGTAAATGGTGAATACAAAATATTACATAGTGCAACTTGCCCACAAACACTCATAGTCTAAGATCTAGATTGGTGCATGTTAAGTAGTACACATCATATTCCTCAGGCCATTTCCATAGTTGCATGTTTTGCCTTACAGTAACACCTACATCGGTGTGGATGCTTGTCCTTCTTGTAACACGGTTTCCCCAATTATTCTTGAGTGCCTTTAGTTGTCGAGTTCTTTTTTCCAAAGTTTGTCTATATGCCTATCCAGAACAAATAAAAGTGACACTCCCTAATATGTCAATGTATGCAATGACAATAATGTCACACAAGCATAATCTAGAAGTGTGAAATCAAATAGGCATCATATAGGCACTAATTATAGGTGCATAGAAGACATCTAAATACACCCAACAAAAATGAAGTGTAGAAAATAATTGTAATCATAAGTGCCTAATATGGATCAAAAGGTTTCTAATACACATGACAAATGGCTAATGGTAACTTCAAACGAGCATTATGTGTGGGTGCAAACCTCTGCCGCCATATATGCACATGCATAAACTGTTTGTGCAAAACGAGTTCAAAAAAGCAGAAATTGGTAGCAAAGTCTATACCTGCGACTCTGGATCAATTAATGTCCGACAATTTCTATGAAATAAACGGCAAACATATTTTTCAGACACATTTTAATGCTACTTTTATTAAAGAATATAATATAATGTTGACTTTGAATATAGAAAAAAATTATACAATTTTCATCGAACCGACACAATCTACCAGTTTGTACTTAGACACTAACATAACACTAGCATTCACATAGGCACTAAATGTAGATGCATTGAAGAAAAACAAATACACTCAGGCATTCGGTGCCAATGAGAAACATGTCTAACAAAAATGAAATGCAGAAAATAATTTTCCTTAAATATACACATTTTAATTTTGAAAGCCCGTATTTAAACAAAATCCTACAAAATTATTTCCCAAATCTAGGAAAAATAACTTGCAATTCGAGGTGGTTAACACTCAGTGACCATATGAACAAATGTTTTGATTAAGGAAAGGAGAACTCTAAACATGAAGAAAGAAAAATTGAAATTGAAATTAAAATCGAAATTCCAATCAAGCACGATAATTTGAGCATTAGAGTTACCGAGAATTGAAAATGCAAAGCTGGCGGCCGGAGGAGTGTGAGGCGCGCTGGATTAGAATCTGAAGAGAGAGCCAGATATAATCGGCGATGGGTTAGAATTGCCGATGCTCTTCTCGATACACAGGAGGAGCAGGCCCTATCTAAATTTGGCTACTTGGCGTCACCACTGCTTCACCCACAACGGCCACAAACGATGGCGGCGCAAGGGTTGTGCTCCGGTGGGAGAAAACAAAAACAGAGAACTTGTAGAGAGAGAGAGGAGGGGGGGAGAGAAGAGTGGGTTGGAAAGAGAAATGGACCTGTACGTATGGTTGGGTGGGGGTATATGGGGTACACCACTGGGGTACAAAGTGGTGTACCCATAGCGCGATTGGCTTATTTTAGGTGGGAATGGAAAAGGGCAATGCTAGGGGTACACCAACATGGGGTACCCCAAGTGTACACCAAGCCAACACAGACACACACAGACACAAAATGTCTGTGCAACACAGACACTTTGTGTCTGTGTGTGTCTGTGTTGGCTTTGGTGTACACTAGGGGTACCCCATGTTGGTGTACCCCTAGCTTAATTCAATGGAAAATGCGCGAGATTCCATGGGGTCTCTAGAATGATGTAGAATGTTTGGAAAACATTGAAGAGCCGGCCGGAAGGGTAGACCAAGGTGCATCCCAACTTTTTTTTTTTCCTTAATTAAATACTCCCTCCGTCCCAAAAAGATTTACACCTTTCAAAAATATTGTGTACCACAATCTCTTACCCATTTCTATTAAAAAAACCACTTTAATCCCTTACTTTTTCAAACCTTACCTATCATACCATACCTTTTTCCTAATAATCTACACATCACATCCTACTTTACCCATCACATCAAGGATATTTTTAGAAAGTCAACACAAAATTATCCTTCCTTTAATTTCAACTTTAGTCAAAACGTGTAAATCTTTTTGGGACGGAGGTAGTAATATTTATATTGTATATTAATTGGATAAAATAATATTTTGAAAATATTTGATATAATAAATCTAATAAATTATTTTTGTATCAATATCTAATATTATTTTTATTTAATTTGAGGTCAAATTTTACCAATTTTGAACAAAAAAGTCAAAAGTGGACAAACACTCAGGAACGGAGGGAGTAAGTGTGTATCAAACATTTATGCAATTGTGTGTGATTTTGATACACATTGTGTGTAAATTGTGATACAAATTTAGTGTACTCCTGACTTTTTTCTTTAGAGATTTGCGTCAAAAGATCAAAGTAGTTACTACTGATATTATTCCGAACAAGATTGATTTGATCTCTTTTTAAATCGGTCTAAATTGGTCTGATTCTCTTGAAAAAACAGGGACTTTTTTACAACGGATAATCCAGTTAGGACTAGTCAAAATCTGTTTTGGTCTCTATTATGTAAAATATTTATTATTTTATTTTTAACAATTTTTTTATTTTTGATTATTTAATTTCTATACTTTGTTGATATTTAATAATTATTTATGTAATATGA